TTCGGTGGGAGTAATACAAGTTCTTTTTCTACTGATACAGCATTTATGTTAAGCTTGGTTATTTAGAGCTTGGTTAGTAAGAGATTTCAAATAAAAATGATGAATCAGTACGGAACCCTTAAATGACCTTGAATTTGAAGAGATCACACCTGATTCTTACCTTTTGAGGTCACATCAAACTAAAGCTTGTACACAGGCCTCGACTTGCCTGTTCCAGGTAAGGCAAAGGCACGAGAAAATATAAGATCGTGATCTGGGAAAACCTGAGGGTGGTGGCAGTTTCCTTCCGTTTTATTTTCGTGTTCGCTTTCCCAATTCCGCGGGCCCGACTGTCTCGAGGCCTGGAACATTCAGGCTAAACTTCGATCAGTTGTCAATTTAACTAAACTTTTTTTTTATAATTTACAAGTGTAGCTATTGATTTCAGACTCTAAAACAAATTTGCACACGTAAAAGTTTTATACAATTGACCCGAGCCTTTGCTACTATAATGCACAAAGTGCTTTTTTTAAAAATAATAATATGACCTGGAAGTTATTTTCCGGGTACAGCATACAATACGGTGCAAAGACAAGTGAGTGTTATTATAATACTGAAACAGCGCTTCATTTCCAGGTCACTACTTTAGCTTCGACCTCACTTGGCGATCAGGAACACTTTGTAAACTTGCTGGTGCTTTATCAGTGCTGTCGAGCGAAGTCTCGGTACTAATGCTGACTGTTATAACCGCTGATCGATTGATCAGCATCGTCTTTACATTCAGCTGTCGCCGATTCACACTAAAGGGAACTTACGTTATTTGTGCAGCCGTCTGGGTCATAGGAATCATCATTGCCGTCGTTCCAACAACTGATCTCCCATATTTTTACAACGAGGACAGACAATATGGATTTTACGGTATATTCGCTTTTCAAGTAAAACTCCGCACCATTAATTTAATTTTCCACTACTCTCGGGCTGTTATAATCTAATGGATTAAAGCGTCTTGATCAGTCTACCGTAGTCGAGTGATCTCGAGCAAGTTTCGTTTAGCACATCTTAGTAAACTGTTTGACAGGAAATTGTCATGGCAAAAGAATACTGCGCTCTGTAACTTGTTGGATAAAATGTTCATCGCCATCTTCACCATCATCATTATCATCATCATCATCATCATCATCATCGTTGTTTGCTTCCTGTTGTTCTTCCTCTCTCCTTATCATTATTATTAGCCTGTCATATTATCTGATATTAAAGACCAACTAAAATACGTAATTCGTATTTTGTTTTTCTTTAAGGGCGTTCGTCAGTTTGTCTCCCTCTCCAACTGTCCACAGAAAGGCTGGCCGGCTGGGAGTATTCAGTTGCCATATTTATCGCTTTGAATCTCGCAGCTTTCCTTTTCATCATGACAGCTTACATCGCCATTATTTTTAAGGTGTTTAAGTCACAGCGGAGAATCAAGGCACATGGAGAATCAAAAATCACTAACAGCCTCAACAGAGAGTCGGCCCTCGCACGGAGAGTGTTCGCCATCATCTTAACTGACTTCTGTTGCTGGATTCCTGTGATAATTTTGGGTATTCTTGCCCTCGTTGAGAAGTTCAATGATCCTGAAGGAACGGCCTACGTGTGGTTTGCTGTGTTTGTCCTGCCGGTTAATTCGTCTGTTAATCCTCTGCTTTACACGTTTTCAACACCGAAGGTAGGAACGCAAATGGGAAACCAGTTAAGAGTCAATGTCAGTAAGAATCGGAGATTATCCCAAAACCGCGGACACAGTTCAAAATTCTTTGATATCAATGAAATCCTCCGCTATATATTTTGTTCCCTTTGGGGTCAACAATATGGAGGAAAAGAATTCACGAAATCTTAATTTTGGACTGCACGATGCCATTATGCAAATATGTCGAACACCTGTGCAAATAGTATATTCAGACTTTACGATTGTCAACACAGGATTTAAACTGAAACAATAAAGGTTCTGTCAAAGGATGCCTTCCTAACTGAGAAAACGTTGCCTAGTCCCTGTACGGCGTTTTCCCAGTCCCTCTCGGTCAACTCACTTCGCTTTGACCACGTGACCCGAAACGCTTTGGCCGCGCGGAATATTGAGGCCTCGGGACTAGGCAAGGGAAAAGTTAGATTTAGACTTGCATAAAGTGATTTAAAAAGGGGTATTGGGATTGAGAACGACATCAACAAGATGCATCAAAGTAATAGCACATTTGCATGATGACGTGACGCGCGCACTGCATGCTGGTATTTGTAGTCAAGAAAAGAACAAAATGATGGCTCGTATTGGAGGTGGGTTCACTTGTTGTGTCCCAGGCTGTTTTACAAACAATGAAAGAGACCCGCATCTGTCATTTTATGTTTTCCCAAAGAAAAAGAAGTTGAGGCGTCGCTGGTTGAACTCAATATCGAGGAAAAGTTTCAAGCCGACCACAGGACACCGAGTATGTAGCTTGCATTTCAAAGGAGAAAAAAAACCTACATGAACAATGTTCCTGTTTTTTTTTTCCTTCGGCAAAATCTCATCCCAGGCGGCCACCCGAACCAAGGAGAAAACTAACTGTTAACAAATCTTCGACATCCAACCAAGAGACGCAGCCTTCACCTAGTTTACCAGCTTCGACCACTACATCAAAGGCTGATGAGTCCGAGCGTGATTGTCAAGAGATCAGACGATTGAAAGAAGAACTGGGAAACGTTGTACGTTTAAAAGGATCGTTGGAAAGGATCTGTCCATCCTTAAATTTGGTTTAAAGCGATTTAAAGAATCAAAAAAGGATATGATCTTCTACACTGGCCTGACCTTTGGTCAGTTTGTGGCATTATTCAATTTCCTAAATGCCCATGGTATTTGTTATCGTCTAAATTACTGGGGCTCTGATTATGATAAGGTACAATTACCTGATATAGAAAAGAAGGGACAAAAGCGCTTCTTATAGCCTGATGATTACCTTTTTCTGGCATTGTGTAGATTGAGGGTTAATATACCAGAGAAAGTTCAACTTCCTGTTTGGGCTACGAGAAGAGCAGTTGAACAAACAATGCCCGAAGTTTTTCGGCAGAAATACCCACTCACAAGGGTCGTCCTTGACTGTACTGAATTAATCATCGAAAAGCCCTCATGTTTCCGTGCACAATCTGAAACTTACTCTTCATATAAGTCCCACAATACAGTCAAGGGCCTTGTTGCAACATCACCTAATGGTGCTTTAACCTTTGTGTCAGATTTGTATGGAGGTCATTGTAGTGACAAAGTTATTGTTGAGCATTGTGGCATTCTACAGCTTCTTGAAGAGGGTGATGCAGTAATCTCAGATCGTGGTTTTGAAATCCAAGACCTATTAGCCTCGAAGAAAGTTTACCTTAATATTCCACCCTTCATGAGAAGTAAAGACCAGCTAAATCCTGATGAGGAAGATGAAACCAGGGAGATTGCATCAGTTCGCATACACGCGGAACGGACTATTGAAAGAGTGAAAAACTTTAACATTCTTAAACAGATATTACTAAATTCTATGGATGAAGATGTTGACAAAATTTGGAAAGCTAGCTAAAGTTTGCTGTTTACTGGCTAATTTCAAGGGGCCATTGGTTAAACAGCAAACGTTCCAAATTTTGTCAACATCTTCATATTTTTAAAATAACTTCTTGAATTTGTAAGAAATACAAGGTACATAGTATTGGTGTACAGGATTTACCCAATAAGTGCTTGATAAAGTAGACATGTTGTTTGAAAAAGGGAAATAAGCACCAAATAGAAAAGATTTTGACATTTCTTTAAAAAATTCTCACTGGTAGCAAATGAAATGCATGAAAACAGTGTGGAGAATATGCATACTGATGCCAGGGTTTAAAGGGTTAATTGAGGAAATATGGTATTTGTAATTTGACAGTAGTAGTAGAGGAAATATTGAAACTTAATGCAAATGTATATCTTCCAGATAAATAATTTTCACGCAACAGGTGAAGGTACTTAAAATATTACGGGCTTGTCACTGAGAAGTGGCCAGTTGCCATCAAAACCATCACTGACTTAACTGTAGAGGCTGGTTATTCTGCTCAGTAGTTGTTTACAAGATGTGATGAACTGTTAAAAATTGCCACTTTTAAAAAGTCACCTGTCAACTCACAACATTCTTGCAACGCTAAATGGGTTATAAACGTAATATCAAGTTAACAAACCGATGGCTTATCTCAGTGATTACATAAATATCTGCAGGCATTGAACTTAATCAACTCTTTGCATAGTTCTTAAACCTGTAGACATTTTTTCCTGGGGTGATTATTTTCAGTCATTTATAGCAAAAGATGTTTGGGTACATACGGATTCCTCTCTTCACACTTCCAGTTAGTAGCTCAGGAACTCTTTCAAGAAGCTTTTTCTTCCAAGAAGCTTTTTCTTGAGTGCTTCCGAGTATGTGGGATCAAAGAAAGACTCTTTTGATGTGTATTTCTTCACGATTCATGAAATACGTGTACACAACAAAATCACACCATGGCTTTCTAGTGATTGCCATACCCCCCTGAACATGTTTATAGTATGAATGTTTTTGTTTGAGTCTGAGTCCTTATTCTGTAATCTCCAAGCAGAAATTCTTGTTGTGTTTTGCAAGAACTTTAAGTAATGAAGTTTGCTTTGTATCCACTTGTTCCTTTAGCTTTGATGGGAATAACTTGTATTTTGCCTCAAGGTTTCCAGTTGGATGATATGTATTTGTTGGATCACTGACTTCACCATCAACACTTGCAGCCAGCACAGGATTATCCTTAGCAATAACAAGGCCTTTATCTTTCACAGTGATGCCCTCATGACCATTGTTTTCTTGATGTTGAATGTATTTACCTGTGTTGACTGGTTCCATTTCCAACCCCACTTGACACTAATATGGTATATTTGGCCTGCAGTTGTACTGAAACACATCCCTCACAAGCCTATCAGGGAGTGTAGTTACTCCTCTGTTACTGATTTCACCAAATGACGATGCAGTTAGTCTTGCACATCTGCATTAAAACCAATCTGAGTTGCTAGATTGCCCTCTTGTTTTTTCCTCAACAGTGTTGATACCATCTTCAGTTATTTTGATGGTTTTCATGTACTCTTTACAAATTTCTATAAAGTTCTCATCAGTTAAAACCAAGTCATCTGGGTAGCCCTGTGTGGGATTGGGCATGGTAAAGTTACCAATGCTTTGAAAATCAGGATCATCATTTAAAGTTTCCTCAGAAATCATAGCTTCATCAGTTTCAGTTTCTACAATCATGCTAGTTTCAGTCTGTTGTTCAGGTAAGTTAGAAATTGCTACAGAATGGGAAGTGATTAAATCTGAAAAAAGTTGATGTCTAGTGGCTCACACTGATTTTACCCAAAACAATGTACTGGGGCTTTCTTGAAAAGATGACCTGAAGCTTCTACCTCTGTCTGAGTTTCATTTCTTTTATGTTTACCAGGTAGATAATCATTTTTACAGTTACAGGCTGCCAATCATTGCCTTGCAACACATTGAGAATTACTGCATTTGACTCCTTAGGCAAGTTTTTTAATTCATTGTAGAGGTCCTTAATCTGCTTTCTTGTAACCTGTAGAGCAAAGGGGGGACATGATGAATATGCTTCTTTCTCGTTTTTCCTTTCAGTCCTTTTTTCAGTCTTCTTTCTTTTGTCAGCATCATAATCATGCTTTATCATCAGTATATCTTTGAAAAGAACTGGAACGTTTGAGGTTCGTTGGGTTGGTTTATGCCACTGCTGAGGCCTTTCTGTGCAAGAAGTGTTTGGAGGAATCTGTCCAAGGCCACTTTCAGAGAATTCAAGTATGGCATATAATAAGGCCCCAGCAAGTTTACAATATCCATTAGCGCCAGCTTTACAAGTGCATTGAGCAGCAACAACTTCACCTGTTTTGTTTTGTCTGACCTTTGTTCTATACTTCTTGTTTCTGGTCATAGAAGCCTTTACTCTTCCATCAAAAAAGTAGAAATCATCATCAAGACATGGGAAGCCTTAAACAAAGCGTACCCTTCTCGTTTGCTTTTAAACGCCCCTTGTCCTTTTTCCCTGCTGTTTCTCCCTCCAGACAGATACGAAAATATAAAACAATGTTGAAACTTCGGCGCCTTTTGTAGGCTTAAAGTCCAGCCTTCTTTGGGCTACCCAGCAACCTTGTCATCACGTTCATTGCCAGTACCTTCGAATTGTTTTTTTTCCAGTGGAGTGAATTCCCCCATCAGGATCAGTTACCTTCATGTGTAGTCCACTGGAAATATAATCTTTAATCCTGAAAATTAACTATTGGCAAAAAATATTAAAAATAACCCAGCATGGATGCCAAAACACTGTACAAATGTCATGTTTACCTTTCAAGACGGTCTTTCAAGTAGTTGCACGCGAGTGCCAGAAACACTCGCCCCTCGGCACCTCAACCAACGTTTCAACTCATCGTTTTTTAACTGTTCAGGTTTCCGTCCCTCTAAAGATGCGCCAGGAACGTCGTCTTCCGTTAAAATTGTTGGTAAAGGTTTGTTCTTTGACCTATTAACATCTTTGAACGCCTCGTTTGCCGTCATTGTTTTGAATCTCCCGAGAGTGTCCCGGGAGTTTGACTACAAATACCAGCATGCACTGCGCGCGTGACGACATCATGCAAACTTGTGCTATTGAATTAATTTGGCACAATTTACAATCAGTCTTATGGGTCATTTTTTCAGTCTCCCCGCGAAAAACTAATTTTCACCGTAATAGTGGCGAGCCAATCGTTAAACTTAAACGTACACTCAACATATTGAGCGATGGCGTGTACTTTCTGAATGCATGCCTGACCCAAAGTTTAAGACTGCGTCACGAAAAATTGTACCACTAGTTTCGTGCTCCAAGAATATATGTAGTCATAAAAAAACAGCTTCAATTCAGTGGTTGCGAAACAAAAATTGAACTTATTCTAGCCAGGTCCGATGTGCCTGCTTTCAAACGCCAGAAAATACTCACGACATGACTATCTGCCCGTTGCCGCCGCGTAAGCTTAGGTATTGGGTGGCGAGGGTCTAAGCGGTATGCAGTGTTCCAGGAAATCTCTCTGGACATAGTGAAGAATCCAAGAAAAATGGTGAGCGCTGCTGTACCTTGATTCAGTCGAAATTCATATTGGAAACCACTGGTTCAGGTAAACACAATCTTTCTTCGTTTGTAATACGTGAAGGAGTAACTGACTGTTTATAAATTATGACGTCATATAATACGTTCAATTAGGGGGTCTCTCCCTCTCTGTCGTCCTGAAATCAGCAGACGCAGGGCCTGTCTGCAGGCTGACCCGCTTTACTGGACTGAGCTCGACCAACCAGGATCTCGTCAACCTGCCTTCTCATATAAATGCTACAAAACGTTTATAAGGACACAGCATGAGCCGAGCCAGCCCGATAAAGCGGGCAAGCCAGGCTAACCGGGCTGGCTCACTTCATATAAACAGGCCCTTTACCTAGCCTCTTTCCCAGACAACTCCCCACCCTTCCACTCGTTCTCTAAAACAGGACAGTGAAGCCTAAGGAGGAGGCTCCTCTATGTTCACACTAAACCGAATAGCTTTGCGCCGGTGCGGCGGTAAAGCAAATTACAAAGTGTTCGAGAGGTTCTAGAAGCAATTGTTCCAGGACAGAGTGATAATTTATTGACCACATTAGGTGAAAACTTACCATCTGAGAGAACACAAGCCGAAGAGGAAATTTTGCAAGGCTTAGCCGAACACTATTTAAATGCAACCCCACTGGAGCACGACAAGACACATTTTGTACACCACTGCAGACAAAATGACGCATTACATTCCTGAGGTGATGACTTTATAGATTTAACATCACGCGGTACCATAGGCTGTTGTTACAGGGGAATAGGTACGATCGGACCTAATGATATCATCAGGCGTAAGAAGGTAGATTTCGCTTAAGTTGATCATTCTCGACTTTATTACAAGTCCCCATATTGTGAAAAACATGACATGTCGCACTGACGTTAATATCAGGACGTATTGCACAGCTGAATTTTCAGTTTTTCGCCGAGACCAATTTTACTCCGATGAGCATGCGGACACATCTCTGGGTACTAGAAGTATGCTGCCCATCAGTGCGCACGTCTCTACAGGGCTTCGATAACTTCTTAACACAAGACACTAAAGCAATAGAAGATCTTAGCGAGATAGCAGACAAGATAGCAGATCAAGCAAAGTCACAAGCCTGGGAGAAGGAAACGAAACAAACACTTACTTCCATCAACGACTTGTTTTCCTGGGTAACACAATGTAAACTACATGCATATGACGATGATCATCAGTTATACTCTTCTAATGTTGACCCAGTAGCCCTAGAGGACTGTATTTGTCGTGAAGTGAGAGTTGCAAACGAGTGGTATCGCAGCGATAGAATGATTGTAAATTAGACAAAACACCAGGCTATCGTCTTGGGAAGAACAGGCCACTCCTCTTTTCCATTGAAAGATTCTTTGGATATATTTGGAACAAATATTGACAATAGCCGCTGTGTTTCGATAATTATATATCAGCTATTTGTAAAAAGATAAATAGTCTCTTTAATGTGATGTTAAGATTTCGTAAACTCATCTCTAAAGATACTCTTTAAGATTATATAAGGCTTTAATTTATTATGCCACACTAACTATTGTTCGCGAATCACAGTGCGACTGGTTTGCTAAACCTAGCATTCCTTGGCACATCACAGTGGCTTTTACAAGATCAGAAGCAAATGCCCCGCTTGAGAAGCTCACTTTTGTCCACCTGTTTCAGAGCTGCCCTCAGGATAGCGTTTCAGTAACTGCCATTTTACAAGATGTTATTGAGACGCTAAAGAAGCATCGGCCGTAACTGCAAAAAGTGTATTGCAACAGGACAAAGCACGATGTTATCATTCTGGCTCAACATTTGTAGGAAGCAGATTAAACAGTCTTTCTGATGTCAAGGTTTAGAGGTTCGACTTTTCAGAACCACAAGTGGGTAAGGGAGAAGCTGGCCGCCAGGCAATGTGACGATGTCTACTTGAACGAGGGGCACGATCTGAACAACGCTGCACAGATGAAAGCAGCCATGGAATCAAATGGAGGAATTCCTGGTCTTATTATCAAGTATGTGAAGCTTTCCGAAGTACCTGCTGCGAAGACTGTAATCAAATGGGACGGAATTAGTGCGCTTAACAACTTCCGGTTTTTGCAGAATTTAATTTGATGGTATTACAACGAAGGCTTATAACATCGGGACCGGAAAGCTGGCACCATGGAAAGACATTCAAATCTGTGGCACCTTTTCTGATACGTTCGAAGTGTAGGAGCCTCCTGATACACGTTCTTAGTTAGGCTTAGAAAAATTAATCCCAGAAAAGAAGTCCTGCAAAAATTTATGTCCGAGCAACTTAGTTTTCCAAGAGAAAGAGGAGGTAAGCGGCCTTTTTAGCCTTCCGGAAGATGGGCCCATGTATTCAGACAAACGAGTGTTCGAAAAGGAACACCAATTCAGGACAGGGCCAGGAGAAAATACTCTGCAAGAGTAACTGGAGAATAAACGAAAGTTCCAGCTGTTGGTTTATATACGGCATCAGAACGCTCAGTAGTAGAACTACTTTCCCCACTTGAGATGGGATGGACTCTTAAAAAAGCAGGGAGTAGAACTCAGTTTACAGAAGGACAAAGAAAGTTCCCGACAGACCAGTTTCTTATCGGGGAGGAGTGTGGTAAAAAGGCAGATCCACAACAGGTATCGCAAGAGATGCGAAGAGTCAGGGATGACACAGTGCTCGTCTATTTAGTGAAAAAGATGTCCTATCGCCCAGCAGGTGGCAGGTTTCTTCTCAAGACGGGACGAACATACGGAAAACGTCAGTGACACCGTGAACGAAGAACGTAAAAGTGAAGACGAAAAGCAGCAGAGTGCAGTCGAGGCAGATGCCCTACATTTGCACCTACAGGCAATTGTAGAAGAAGAAATTGTTTTACGTCACCCGATTGTCGCCCTTTCGCGTAACATTTGCAATTTGGTTCATACAAAAAACTTATCTACCTTACCGGTTGCTATGCTGAGGGTCATTTGTGAAGGTATTGGCTTAAACGTAAATGAGGTCTCGGGGAAAAGGAAAAAGCCACTTACAGGTCGTATTACGCAGGTCGTTAAGGAGTGTAAAGAGTTGACGATCAAAAAGAGAGGCAACCACGATCTCTATTCACCTATTGGGATGATACCAAGCTGTAAAGAAGCTGAGATTTTGGGTGTTACCTTCCAATGTGACAGCAAATTTTCAGTGCACGTGAAGAACAAACTTATTAAAGCTAACAAATCCCTACATATCCTTAGAACGCAGCGCAAAGAAGGGTACAATCAGTCAGAAATAGACCTTCTCTTTAATACTATAGTGCTACCTAATATTAATTACGCATTATCTGTCTACGCCGCGTCCGAGTCCGATCTTACACCCGTACAATGTTTCTTAGACCGCTGTTTTAAAAGGAAATATACGTCTAAGCCTGTAAATGTTTATGATTTCTTAGAGAGGCAAGACCGTAAAAATTTCAGAGAAGTTTCCAATGCCAAAGGACATCCACTTTTATCTATTATGCCTCGTGTTAAACCCTCCAGCTACAATCTTAGGAAAGAAACTTGTTTTAAACCTAAGATTAACACTATGCGCTTTAAGAACTCTTTTATTAATCGTTTAGTTTTTAAATATGAATTAGCTATGTAATATACTAGATATATACACCGGTATATATATTTTTTAATTCTTAGTTTTTAACTTTTTAAAATTTCTTACACTTACTTGTAACAAAAGATATGTATTTTTATCTCTTGATGAATAAAGACTTTATTTTATTTATTTCTTTTGCTCGAGTGTGATCGGTGTAATGCTAAAAACCGACTAGAAAAGACGCATACAGATCATACCTATCTCTATTGCAGCAGTCAGGCTAAGAAACGCTAAGCTTCTATCCATTGTTTTACCTAATTACAACTATAGCTTTTAGGGACTGCAGAGCTGTGATCAATCTCAAAATTTTTCGGGGGAACATGCGCTTGGACCCCTCTAGACAAACTCGCGCCTTCAGCACTCTTTAAGCTCCTGCTACGTGTGGGTTAGCCCCACCAATTCAAAATAGAACCGCGGTCCCTGGATAATCCCACCTTATGAAAACACGGAACTGCTGTCCTGTCATTGCAAAGTTAATGTCAAACGTTATTCTTTGC